GATATGTGGAGATGGTGGTAGAAAGTAAGACAGTAAACTGAATATCTCATAAGGCAGGGTTTACTAACCTTTGATTTAGTGAAGCTTGCCTTGTCAGTTAGAAAGTAAACGTCCTAACAGCCTACCAATAACATCCATCCCAGCCTCAGGGATCTGCACAGCCTTCCTCCCTGTGTTCTCAGACTTTGTGGTCTTTCATTTAGGCACCAGGAGGTTCCCCTATTGTTCTAATGGATGGGAGCCCCCTAGTGGAAGTCCTTCCCCACTGCCTCACCAGGCACCAGAGGCTTCAGTCTGACTACAGTGGAGCCCTCATTGCACCAACACAAGACGGTGGTTTGGGCAACAAGAGTGTTTAAAGAAAAGGAGGGGTGGATGCTCAGACAAATCTGATTACATTTTGACCCAAGGATGAGAGGGCAAACGTTTTATGGGACGTAGTAAAACAACTCTCAACATGCTTTATCAGCTTCTTTTTGCCTGGGACCCAAGTATTCAGCCACAGACAAGCTGGTAAGAAATTTAAGCAGTAGATGCCAACCAAGACATTCTTACCAAATAAAATTCAGCATGCCTATATCTTTTCCACCAGAATAAGTTCTCCTATCAAACTGCTTAGTCCTTCTATGCCAGGACATCTCAGCAGTCTGCTCAACTGTAAAATGATGACTTCAACACAAGCCAGACTCCCAGTGATTCAATACCTGGGAAGCAATGAGACCTGGTCTTAGATTTAGGAGAGAACAAAGTGCCCCACATGAAGCTGAAAACAGCATCCAAGCTCCCTACCTAAAATGTGGGACTGGGCTAGAGGTGTAGTTCATTGCAGAGCACTTGCACAAAGTCCTAGATTCCACACCCAGCACACAAAAAAAGAATGAAAATAAATCAAGCTACTGCCTGGTTCTCTGGCTTACATAAAGCCATGGCCTTAAGAACTGGGAAGACCTAAGTGCAACCTTATGACCAATAGCTGAGCTAAGGCACATGATGGAATGTTATAGCCCTGATATCACAAGGGGTACAAGTCCCAAGATGCCTATATTAATTTCTGGCACACAAATAGGGACTATGGAATATCTGGTAAAAGAACCCATGTAAGTACTATACATGGAGAGGTTAGTGCTGAGAGACAGAAAAAATCTATGAAGAATCTACAAACCAAGTTCAAAAATACATAAAGAAAGTCACCTGAGGAAAACTAACTTACAAAACCGACAAAATCACTACAATTAAAATGGGTAACAAAGCAGTTTTAAACAGGACTCCAAGGACCAGGGATTTAGCTCAGTGGTTCCACTGTCTGCCTCACAAGCACAAGGTCCTGAGTTCAATCCCCGGTACCAAAACAAACAAACAAACAAACAAACAAACAAACAGGACTTCAAGCCAGGCACCATGGTACATATCTATAATCCCAGGCAATTGGGAGACCAAGGCAGGGAAATCATTAAGTTCCAAGCCAGCCTAGGTAGCATAGTGAGATCCTTGTCGGAAAAAAATTTTTAAAACCCAAAACCCTGGTATACTGTTTTTTGTGGGATTGTTTGTTTTTACAATGCTGGGGGAAAATATCTAAATTTCATTCATTATATGCATTATTCAAACAGTTGTACAGAAACTGATGATTCAGTACCTACAAAATGTCTGATCAAATCATAGATTGGAAAATATCATGAGCATATCAGTGAGGAAGACCAAGATGTTTATAAATAGTATTTTTCTACAGCTCATAGATGGCATCTGGTTGATACTTCTATCCAGGATGCTGACTACAAACAACACCGGATTCACCAGAATGAGGGTAAATTCGAACCAAAGGGTCACCTCAACTCAGGAACATGCTGTGATCCTTGATATAGAAGTTATCATGCTTGAGGCCATGGTGTGAAGCCAGGAAGAAAAGAGCCACACCTCATGTACAAAGACTTCAACTTCCTCCTTCTACAGGAACCCAATGTTCTTGGCTGGCACTCATCAGAGTGGGCACAAGATATTCTCTAAGTCAGTTTCACCTTGCAAAGGAGGAGATCCACTACTGGCTAGGAAGAAGTAAGACTTGCCTCCCTGTTGTCTACAAGTAGAAAACTGGATGAAGTGGCACAAACTTTGATCCTTCAAAAAGAGAAACTAATGAAGACACTATGATCACTGAGACTTTCTGCCTTAAGGCACATTTTAGACCATAGCACAGGTGGGGCCCCTAAGCAAAGCACAACCATCTTGCTAACATGAAGAGCAGAGATTGAAATATAGGAGGTTGAAGCTTCTGGACTTTTAGAACCAAGTACTGACAAAAAGGGAGCTATGTGGAAAAATAGCTCCAGATCTCTACAGAAGTTCTCTGGAGTCTTTGGATAAATACTATGTGGGCATGAGGCTATAAGAGCCAAGTAAAGAACAATTATAAGGGGAAGAACTACTGCTCACTGTAAGCAGGACAATTCCCCAAGCTAAAATACGGCCAGGAAATGTTCTTCCAGCCAATCAGAGTACAGACCATATACAAAAGACCTAGGAAGGGCAAGGCATTAGTACTATACTAAACCAGTCATGGAGTTAAGGCTGTTCTAATAAAGTCTTTGTTTCAACCTGTTGAACAATGATACAGACCAGAACTATCTAATATGGTAGCCACTAAGTATACGTGGCTATTGAACCTGTTGAAATGTGGCTAGTCCAAGCTGACATGTGATTGTAAGTAAAAATAAAATACAAACTAGATTTTTAAGACTTAGTATTAAAAAAATGTAAGTTATCTCATTAATAGATTTTATACAAATTATTAAA